TTTGGTCTCTTTCTGTGGTTTCCATTCAAAGCAAGTTTGTGTAAAAACTCTGAATGTGACCAAACAATCTCAAAGGTTTGGAGTTACTTGGGGATTGCCTTCAAGTTCCTGACCGTTTCCACTAATCAGTAAGCAAGTACAAGAGCTGAGGAAACAAGCTGGTGTAATGACCCACCCCACAGGAAGGTGCGCAGAGCTTGCTGCCCAGAAACAGCGAGGCCATTTATCCTTCGGAATTGTTCTCGTCTTCAGCAGCTCTCCCGTTGCCAACCTTGCCTACCCTTCTGTCTTCCACCGGTTACTTTCCTTGCTCCTTCTTCCCACCCATGAACCCTTCAACTTTCTCAACGCTCTCCAGCTGCAAGGCCTGGAGGGAGCTGCAGCTCCCCATGCATTCAGGAGGATCAGCCCAGACTGACTGCGGCAGGAAAAAGGAAATCATTTTATTTACATTCTGGAGCTATGAATATAACAAATGTTGAATGTCTCAAAGCCTCCTAAATGTACAGTTATTCTATGCAATCATGAATTTTCTATAATTTTAGCATTTTCTTTCCTTCTCAACTATTTGTATGATAAACTCACACTACTGGTTTTAAAACAGTCTGTAAACAGCCAGAGCCAAGATTGTCTCGTCTTCTGTGCACAAGACCTACCACAATGGAGCCTTTATCCTAACTACAGACTTTCTGCACTGCTGTAATTCAGATACTAGTAGTAATGATAGTGAATGTGAAATAATATGAGTGAGACTTTAGCGTGAACAGAGAATAATCCTCTATCAACCGACAGCTCTACAGGAATAATGGTACACATGAGTATTGTTGTCAGCGTTCGCACGCATACTGCTTTTCTTCCTGATAGAGCCCCCAATACCTTCTCAAAGGTACGGAAACATTATTTGAAACACATCACATTAAAGAAAGTCTGTTTATCAATATGCAGAAGCCCCTCACGCAGTTCGTGCCTAAAAAGGAGAATGGCTTTTGTCACCTGAGGCTGTCAGTGGAAAAGGGAAGACAGCATAGCAAGAACCCACAAAAGCTTAATAACAGTCGACTCCCAGTCTGCACTACCCCAGTCTAAACTCTGCCTCTCAGCCATCTTACTGCCTCGTAAGGAAAACAAACAAACAACAACAAAAAATACTCACAAATTTGAATGAGCAAAAAGTCCAGAAAAAAAAAAGTATATGGGTGTGTGTATATATATGTATATATGTATAAAATACATATGTATTATATATAGGGTAGCAGCCTTCCTCTTGTGGCCTCTCATGCCAGGAGCATTCGGATTGCAGGCTAGATATAAATGTCAGATCAAAATTCCATTAAGTTTTCTCTATTGTTTAAATGACATGCTCATATTTTTAAGTAAGCCTCTACATTGGTGTATACATGTGGACACAGGTCTGCATAAACTCCAAATTTAATTGTCAGTACCAGCTGAACTGCTTAAAAGTCATTTTAGTACAAATTCATGCCTATGATTACTGAGTCATATGATTACATGACAACATACATTAGCACTATTTCAATAGTGAATGCAAACAAGCCTAAATCTCCCTAGTACTTTGATTTATATGAGCAGGATAGATCTTCTACTTTCCTTCCTAATTAATCATATGGAGACAACACTCCCGGATTTCCCTTGCAATTATGTTAATTCAAAAGAAGACAAATAAGGCTGCCGCGTTGAGCGCAGCTGACTAACGCGCACGGAGCGCAGCCGCCGGCCCGTGCCAGCCGAGCGCTCTGAAAAGGCGCGTCGCC